TAGCGGTTTTATAGGATACGATTTGAAAAATGTCTTAAAAAACAAGCGTAATAAAAAAATGGGTTTATAAAAACAAGTGTATAAAATAGGTAATGAGACGTTTAATATTAAAAATGTCCTATAAAACTTGTTAAAACGTTCAAAAACATTTTTATAAACTTCTTACAATGTCTTTAGATAGATTACCTTTATTTTTTGATCCTATAAAGCAGTCTGATAAGACGCTTTGAAATTAATAACGTCCTATAAACTCAATTTTGTTATAATGAATCCAAGATAAAAATGAAACCAAATAATATGGCACCTAGTTATGCCATTAACAAATCACACACACATTCATACATCAAATACCGCAAACCCTAGTTTAAAGTGCAACTTATATTTGCACCCATCACTACTAGAAAACAGAGCATTTCCGGCGGCGTTCCGGCGGACACTAAAAAAATCAATATTTATTRWCTTTCAMYWATTTGCGGCGGATTTCCGGCGGATTTCTTAATTACTCGGTTTAATCTTGAATTTACAACATTTTACCGGCGGATTTCCGGCGGATTTTTTAATTTTTTTCTAAAAAAAAGAGTAAATAAATTTCCGCCAGAAACGGGGAAATCCGCCGGAAACGCCGCCGGAAAAACAATCACCGGCGCCCTTTTTTCCGGCGGCCAAATCCGCCGGAAATTCCTTTTTCCGGCGGATTTGACCGCCGGAAATTGTGGGTTTTTTGGTAGTGCATTCTCTTACAAAATGATGATGTTTCCCTTTGCTCCGGTCCTGCAAGATAGAAGGTTTCCCATATAAACAATTAGAAATCTACAATGGATAAAATATATAAATTACAAATTAAAATTAAAACAGAAAAGTAAAAATTCATAAATTATATATTATTCTATAAATAAAATTACTTTTTTAAAATAAAAATAAAGAATGAGGTTTTTGTAAGAACTTCTATTGTGGAGTTCTATTAAGATTCTTACTTTGTTTAGGTGACAATCATATAGTAGAAAAAAATATAGCAAATGAGGTTCTTAGAGATTCAACCGCTGTATATGCTCTTAAATTCTTATAACCTTTTAATTACCGGGTAACTAAACACTTAAGGGTCGCTTACCAAACGCTTATTCGGGTAAGTGAACACCAAGTTATTTTACCTTACCAGATGAATATGGTAAGAGCGAGATAAAGACCAAAAGTCTTACACATGGCCGGCCCTGGCCACGTGCAGCCCGTGCGGCCGCACAGGGCATCAAAGCCTAAAGAGGCATCAAGTTGTCATTTATTACTAGTTTTGAGTTTAATAATTTGGGAATTGGACAACTGAGCTTTAACTATAAAAACAGACTCAGGGCCTAGTAGTGATGGATATTGAATGCACATCGTAGGAAAAAGTTGGAAAGTTGAAGAAGTTTTTGTTTGGGAGTGTTTTTTTAGTTGAAATGAACATGTTTGGAAAAAAAACTTGGCTTTCTATACAAAGCTCCATCTAGAAGCTTACTGGATAAGTTACTTTCTCTATCATTAAGCCAATACGAAACAGTCATGCATAGTTGAGCGAATAAGTTGTTAGTTTCATTAAACTTATTAAGTTGCTAACAGATTAGCCATTAACCTTTAGTCGTTAGACCTGTAACTTTTGAGTTTTACTTTTTGCTTACTATGACAGTAATTTGGATGTGATTTACTATTATAGTTAAAAACAATTATAATTTTCTTTATCTTTTAAGTCCCATATATTGAAATAAAGTTTCTGTTTTGCTAATTTCAATTTGGAAAGGGAAAACCGGAAAAGAAGAAAGCATGATCTTAATCCAGAATCTATTCTCTTATATTTTATATTCAGGGTTTTGGTTTTTGTCCCCCCCCCCCCC